GTTTTGTTGTTTTTATAGTTTTAGTGTTGAATCCCAAAGTGTTGTCAGTTTAAGTGAAGAAGGCCACAGTTATGTTGAAAAAAAACCCAAAACCAAAGATAAAGCTTTCAGAGAGAGCAAAGCCTTGAAGTGACCAAATCCACAATCTGGTATATTCTTTACAAAAAGCAATGTACGGGCCAGCTCACCATCAATAGGGCCTGGAAAAACAACAAAAGACAAAGTGCATGATGACATTTCCATGGTTAAGAAAAACAGCCTCACAACATCTAAAGAAGTCAAGAACATTATTAGGGAGGGAGGCGTATCAGTGTCGAGGTCCCTTCATAAATGGAAATGAAGAGGGTTTACAACAAGGCGCAAACCACTGGTTACACTCAAGAGCAAGAGGGCTGGATTAGACTAAACATCTAAGATTAATTTGTACCAGAACGATGGGAAAGGAAAAGGTTCCAGAAGGAAAGGAACAGCTCGTGATATGAAGCATGCGATATCATCAAAGAGGTGGAGGCAGTGTTATCACATGGCTGCCAGTGGAACCAGGTCACTAGTGTTTATTGATGATGTGACTGATAGAAGTAGCAGGATGAATCCTGAAGTGAACAGACCTGTACTCTGCTGAGACTCGCCAAATGATGCAAATGGATAATTTCCCAAAGCACACTACAAACGCAAGAGTTTCTCAAGAGCAAAGAAATTGGATACGCTTCAATTGTCAAGTCAGGCACTTTAAACTAAAGCCAATAGAGGACCTTTTTAAGTTATTAAATAGAAAACTGAAGACAGACAGACCCATAAGGAAGCAGCAAGTGAAGGCAGCTACCGTAAAAGCTCAGCACGGGACCTCAAGGGGGAAAACACAAAAAACCTTTACTCTCTTTGGACGAATAGTCTGACATCTGACACCTCAACTAGAAGTAGTGTGCGTCCGATTATTGTGTAATCGTCAACAGGCTTCTGCTTCTTTTCCTTCAGATGCAAAATTTCTGAACATACCACCTGCTTCATCTTCTGTCTGAAGCCAGTTTCTGCGTTTTTTTTTTTTAACATTTTCTAAGAAAAATACACTTTTCCGGTTTAATCAAGTACTATTATTATGAAAAGTCGAAGATGTGCACGTGGATCACAGACTCCCAGTATTCAGTACTCCGAAAGAGCTGTCATTATATTTCATTCTATATATTTACGTTTGTTTTATATATACACTGAGTCTAATCAGCTAATGACATGGAGGCATGTAGACTGCCGTTTAAATTAAGAATCAGAATTGGGGAAACAAGGTGACTTAAGTAACTTTGAATGTGGCATTGTTGTTTGTGCCACATGGGCTGCTCTGAGTATTTCAGAAACTGGTGAAATCTTTAGGGTTTACAAAGAGTGCTCCAAAAAAGAGAAGCTACCCAGTCAGCTGAGCTTCTGCAGGTGAAAATATCTTGTTTGACATCACAGGTCAGAGGAGAATAGTCAGTCTTCTTCAAGCTGATAGGAAGCCAACAGTAACTCAGATAACTACTTTTGATATCTTAGGTGTGGAGAAAAGTGTTTTCGTACACACAGCTAGGGCAAGACACTAAAGCAATAAAGATATGTGGTGCACAATAACCTTTCCTCACTAGAGATACATGGGATAGGGTCAATATAAAGTCAGTAAATCCCATTACTTCCTTGTTTTGACAGACCACATGAAAGGGAGTGAGCATCATCAAAGACAAAATGAAAACAGAAAACTCGGGTGGTCGAGTTTCTGAATATGACAGGTTAAAGTGCAAAAGACGAGGATATTGTTAAAAGGAAGAGTCAGAGGAATTCAGTGTAGCATACACTACACACTACATACAAAGGCCAGCTACACCACAAATTGTTTTCACCCTCTGCAGCGGTGGCATCCTCATAGTGTACAGTTGCCTGTTTATCAGTACAGTGCGATGCATTGAACAATGCAAGATTTTTCTTAGAAACAAAGAGACAGTAATATTGTAGCCTAGTTTTTAAAAGATGTGTTGCCAGGAAGCTGATGCTGATTAAAGTAATTGGCCCTCGCTACCAACTCCCTGGCCACAAAAAGTTCTCTCAGGCAGCTATACACAGAGTGCAGAGAGATAGTAGTCAGGCCTCACTGTCCACTGCTCTCTCTATTTTAAATCTTATTTATTTATTGTCTAGGAGCAAAAGTGAACAACAATTGAGTATGATTTTTTCATTGTGCATTTCTTTCGTTATTTGTTTGAAGTTCCATAATGTTCTGTCTGTCGTGGTCACCTTCTGACAGAATATAAATAATGTTTCAATGAAAAGGAACCTTTAAGCTTGACAGAAATAGTGATTTGGTTTATATCATGATATCCAATCATATACACAGGTGACCAGTGGCAGAAAACTAGATCCAGTGCCATCTGAGTGCTGCATCAATTGGCGGATACAACTGATGGAAGCTGACATGGCCAGTAAGCTGTTTTATTTCGACTGCTGACCTAGAAGAAGTGCAGTGAAGAATTTTAAATATATATATAGTATTTTTGTCATGTCAGAGCTTATTTTCTTTTATATCTCTAAGTCCTTAAATTCTGGTAGTATTTTCAGGTTAATCTCAAAATACAACATTTTGTTTTCCTGTGCATTTGTTTGAATCCTACCCAGCCTTGATGTAATTGTCTACCCACTGATCAGCTATATTTTTATTGACTTTGTATATTTAGATTTGACTATTAAGAATGAGAAAAATAATGGATTTTTTTGGGCATATTAAATAAAAGGAAAAAAAAATCAAACATACAGTTGAATTGGAAATAAATGCAATCAACTAAATAAATAAAGTATGAAAATGAATTGTTTGAATGGGCCCCGGACAGAGTATTGGTAATGGTAACTGTGCAACAGCATTTTGACATCAATTAATCAAAGCTGCATGAATTATTAGCAACTTGCTATGTGTACATCCTGTGTGGTATGGAGGAGGGTGGACACAGGCTTTGTGGAAAGTGTGATTACACATTTGTACTGATTAAATATATAAAACATTTATGTTAATCGTAGGTAGATTTTTCAGAATTATGTATTGAGCTTGATAAATGCTACATATTTTAAAACCAAAGGTACGTACATGTTTTAAAGTATCTCAGTCATAGCCATGATTCCTACCTGCAGCCACAGTTTTAGCTGCCAGCATGCAATAATGTAAACATGTTGGAAGCAAAGTGCCTTTCTCCATGGAGACATTTAAAGCTTAGATGAGCTCAGTAGCAAGGCTTCAACTGTGCTCGAGGCTAACAGATGGTCAACTTATGGCCCTCTTTTTGAGGATGGTGTGTGTGCGAGTTTATAGCTGCACATATGCATTAACTCACACGTCAGCCCTTTGTTGAGAGAGAGCAATGGGAACTGAGATTTCGCTCCACAGAATGGTATGGCTATTTAAAGGGAGGCAACACAACAAAAGGGGGAGACTGGGAAGAGAGAGTGAGATAGTGAGCGAATGGATTCCAGTCATATGTTTACCTGCCAGTGGTGCTTTTTCTGTACTGTTGCCATGGCAGCAATGGCTCGCTGTATGTGTGTGTGCTGCGAGTCTGTGAGACAAGGGATGTAATTCTGCCTGTCACCAGTGTAGCCTGGAGCTGACTCCCCAGCTGCTGGTTGCCATGAGACCAGACAGACACATCCTCCTTTTCAGTGATGAATCTTTTCTCTGGATGTTCAAATCACATTAAGTACATTTTGTTTTCTGAGAAATGTCAAAATTAATATCCACTGTTAGACTATGTATAACATAAAACGTAGTGTCAACTTTTTAAAAGTGTTGGGATTAAAACTACTAGGGTAGATATAGGGATGATTAGCAGGCTAGCTATATCATTAAAGATGTACCCCACACAGCTTTTCCCCGTGCAGTACACACCAAACAGAAACAGCACACTGTGAGTTGATTGAGTGAATTGTTACAAAATAAGACCTGGAACGTCCTCTCTTCAAAAATGGCATGCCATTTTATATCTGCATCCATGCTTTTAAACATTTGATATGTTGTACTAAGACTTTTTTCTTTGAAAAATATATTCCAATTTAAATTTGGTGCCAGCAACACCGCAAAAAAATGTAACAGGGAACAGAGTTGAAACATGTTACAACTAATTGCTTGCATCAAAGAAAGGTCGAGTGTTCCAGAAGTAAAGATTGAGAGGCGAGCAGCCCAATATTTTAATAATGTTTTTCAGCGTGAAACTGCTAAAAATGTCACAATATTCAAACAAACAGAGAATCTGCAGATGTCTCTGTGTGCAAGGGACAAGGCAGTGATGGAAACACAACTTGAATGACTGTGATATTCAGGCCTTCCTATGACACTGCATTGAAAACAGTTGCAGCCTGCTCAGCATGTAAAGCCCTTCATTTGTTCAACAAACTTCTTGGTCGTTGCTAGCTAACTAACGAACTAAGCAAATGGTTGACCATTTACCGTAATATCAAACTCTGAAAAACAAGATGAGAAAAGGAACTAGAAGTTACAAGTAAAAAAATTAGAACCACAAACCAAATATAAGCTGTGTTTTTAGATGTTAAACATGTCACATTGACATTCTCAATATTTTTTAATGATTATATTTATAGGTTTCAGAGGCCAATTTGACATTCACAGTTTTTTGTCCTTTTATACCTTATAGATGTATTTTACAGAGAGCTATGCCCCTCTGCCTCCACCGGTTGAAGCAGATGACGGAGTCTGGTTGTCCCTGAGCTTGCTTCCTGTTAAAAAGGAGTTTTTCCTTCCCACTCTCGCCAAATGCTTGCTCATAATAGGTTGATCTGATTGTTAGGGTTTTCTCATAGGCTCTCTTGTAGGGTATTTACCTCACAATGTAAAGCGCTTTGAGGCAACTGTTGTTGTGACTTAGCAGAAATACTGCTCAGGTGAGTTAAAATCATGTATCATACCTTATCATATAAGGTATGATACATGATACATGGGTAAAATCGTAACATTGTACCTTCTTTTTTTCCTGAAGAGTTCCTGAAATGACCGAAGTGGAGCCAGTGCTGGACTTTGCCTCCTCGGGGCGCTCAGGGAGGAGAAATGCCCTGCCTGATATCCTGGGCTCTCCAGCGGGTGTAAACCCTGGTGACTTACCTCTAAAACTGGCTGAGCTATCCCTAAAAGGTGATATTTCCCTTTAAATGTGTTTTTTTTTTTAACTTAGTACTTTAGCATGTGAAGCAATATATTTGATTATTTAGAAACAGTATAATGTAAATTAAGGACACTTTGAGAGATGTTTTTGTGAACTTGACTGAGATATTTGATCCCCGGAAGCCTTTATGTGGCTCATCTATGGCTTGAAGCTATGGCAAAGTTTTTGAGATTTAGGAAAGGTTGTCCTTGTCTAAATACATCTCCATTTAGTAGCAGATGGGTGAGCTTTAGGCTAGGAATGTCACTAGGGAAATGCTGCCCATTTCCCTGTCATGCATCACAATTGCTAAAAGTGTGTAGCTACCAGGAGTGCCAAATTTGAGCCATTGAGCATCTTTGGCTGCATGTGTAGAAAACAAATTAGCATCTAACATAACACAACATGGTCGTGCAATTCATCTTACAGACCCCAAAAATGAAAATACAGGTTTGCTCACATGAACTCGGATCTTTTGGAATTCCTCCAGCAGTGGCAGAGAGACACTTTGTTTGCCTGCATTGGGGTTTCTGAAAAAAATAGCAGCCTTAAAATGAAAGCAAAAACAAAAAATGCCAGGCACGCACTGTCACAGTCATTTATGAACAATAGCTTTGGAAAGAAGTTCCACATTTGTGCCTTTAGAAGTCATTTTTGAGTTTTGTGTGCAGATGGTCCGGGAGGGGCTCAGTCACCCACGGCGGAGGAGCCACCAGCACCGCCAGAAAGCTCAGATGGGAAAGAGGGATCATAGGGACTCGTTTATTTACCTCCCCGGAGGCCTACAGAGATAACCTGAGAGAGGATGAGGAACGAGGCAGAGGGCGACCTATGGGAGAATGAGTGATGATCTGTGGAGAGTCACACCGTTTGCGAGGAAGCTGAGCCACGGAGGGAGGGTGATGGATCCACTCCCAAAGGACTGGAGCCAAGAGCTTAGGACTGTTTTGGTACTTTCTAAAAAGAGTCAGACGTCACCTAGTTCTGAACCACATAGTGTGTGCACGTGTGCATATATGCATAAACGCGGATACGCTACATTGGGAATAAAAAGGACAATGACCGATTGTGTCCTGTACACTCTTTATTACAATTTTTCTATGATTTATTTAAAACGAAAGAAAAAAGGAACTTGTGAGTCAAAATGTAACGCACCATTTTCCTTGCATTTCCTGCAGATCTCTGTTTTGTAGCTCTGTGTGTTCTTTGACAGTAGTTTAACTGCAGCCTGTAGTGGCTTGATCCTTTTTAACTCATTACACGACTTAAGAAAACTGGGAACTGTGTTATCCGGCTCATTTATGCTTTTTACACTAAATATGTATGATCTAGTGTGCATTTTCAAATGAGTCTATAACTACACTGCAGTTGTACAGTTTGTATCCTTCATCACCAGACTGTTTTAACCATAACAGCAACCAGGGACTCTTTGCACTTTTTAGGGATGATTTGGTGCAACGTGATGATATGGCAACCAAATAAAGTGTAGTCCATATCTTGAAACATTCCTTTAGAGAATAGTTTCCCACTGCCAACACTACTTCATTGTAATACTGAGAGAAAAATTAAGATTTCATTTTGTTTTTGTTTCATTGTTTTGCTTTTCAAAGTCTCTTCATTTTCCAAATATCTGAAAATGTGCCTAGTGGCAGTTTACAACTAAAAGTGGGTGTTGTGTTCTTTCTCTGTGAGGTACTGTTATTGCAAATTCCGGGGCTCTTGATATTTCCTCAGTTTTAATAGGAGGTATCGTTAAAAAAACCCATCTGAACTACTTGGACTGTGGATGAAAGAAGAAAACACTGGCCGTAAAATCCATTTTGTCTGCGGTGACAGCAGCATACGCTTGGGCGCGGGAGCAAGCGTTAACAAATGCTGCAATCTCCACAATGTGTTTCTAGTGCTGAAAATGGCAGCAGTTCCCCTTCTGTCTCACTCGCACGGAGAAAAGTCTGTTCGCGCTCATCAACACATGAGCAGAACTGTGAATAGGACGCGAGCTGGAGAGTGAGAAACAACAGCAAGAGTTCACACTTTGCCAGCTATCCCCTCTCTGCTACTGTACATATACTATATTGTAGTAAAATCCATGTGTGTCATACATGCTGCCTGTATGATTACTGGACTGTACCCACAAACAAAAGGTGTTTTGTAATTGTCTCTATTTGAAGATGTGTTGACTGGTGGCCTGTCTTTATGTGGATGTGTTTCACAAATGCAACAAGGAAAACCTGACGTGCTGCTGCCCAGTCTGTCTTTATTCCTTTTTTTGTTTTGTTTTTTATGCTGTACTGATAAAGTGTCTGTGGTCTGTCTGACGCTGATCAACACATTTTAAGAGACCGATGAATCAGAGGTGTATGTTGTAGTGTCCTGGTGCATATATTTTACTTAACTGGATTGAATCCTTTATGTTGATTCTATCTGGTGGTGAAAATTGCCATATTAAATCTCCAAGCTTTACCTATACTGCAGTGTGTTGAATACTTTTTACTAATTTGCTTATTCTAATATTTGCTAGAATTTTTGATTCAAGACTGGCTATACGAGTCTGACATGTGGCCCGTATTGACGTATTTTCAAAATATTTAATCACTAATAGCTGTTAAAGGAGTTGTTTACCTTTCATAGTTAGCATGTAAATACTGTAGCTACTTTCAGCTTCTCTCTTGTCACAAAGTAGCACTACAACAGGTAGCAACACACGCTGTGATGCCCTTCCTGACGCAACCCCAACAGGGATTTGTTTATCCTGCTAGAAGGTGAGCAGTAGCCTTTACTTGCCAGCTGAGCATGTGAACCACTACACTATGGAGCCACCACTAATCGTATACACTAACATGAATAACTGAACCCCTGACTGAAAACCCTAAATGCTGACCATTTTTGTCAAATTAATTATATCTCTATTATAAACTTAATTTGCTGTATTTGCAGAAAGTCTAAACAACAGATGCCTGGCATGAAGGGGAACCACCAGGTTAAATGTGTTTACAGATTTCACAATGCTGCATATGTGAGTAAAGTTGCATAAAGCTTTTTTGCCTCCAGGGTGGGTTGTGACAAGTCTGATAAGTAGCTCTCCAATAGCATGTAAAGTCGAATTGATGGATTTGCAATATTCAGATCATGCTGTTTTAGAACAGAAGAAAAACGGTGTTGTGTTTGACGCCTAAAAGCTCAGTCTGTTTTTTGTAAATTTCCTCCAGAAGTGCTTTTGCCAGTTGTAAGGCAAAAAGGGAAGGTATGGATCTATGGACACAATTCGGTATAGTAATTTGAAAAAGACAGTAAACCCTCTTTCAGCACCAAGGTTTTGAGGACATGATAAAAAAAATAATCTGGTCCTTATCAGGTTCAGCCGGATTCAAATTATTTAATTATTTAAAATAACTCTGACCTCAGATTAAGAGTAACACATAGCCATTCCCCTTTTTATTTATTTAACACAAACAAGAGCTCTGTGGTGAGAGGAGAACCTTCCTGAAGGACAACCATTTCTGCAGCACTCAGGCCTGTATGGTAGAGTGGCAAGGTGGAAGCCTAAAAGCAAGCCTGCCTGGAATTTGGCAAAAGGCACCTGAAGGACCAGATCATGAGAAACACAATTGTCTGGTCTGATGAAACAAAGATTGAACTCTTCCAAAAAAAACAGGCACTGCTCGTCACCTGGCGAATACCTTTTCTTACAGTGGGGCATGGTGGTGGAAGTGTCATGCAATAGGGATGGTTTTTGGCAGCAGGAACTGAGAGAGTAGTCAGGGTAGATGGAAAGATAAATGCAGCAGTGCACAAGGACATCCTTGTTGATGACCTGCTTCAGCCTCTTCTCCCTGTGCTGGACCTCTGTAACAGAAACGAAGCATGTGAAATGCTGCATCCATTTCAATCCTACTATTACTTGACAACACCTTCAAAGAAAATGCCAATTTAGCAAGCTCAACTGACAGGCCAAAAGTGTCACCATGTAACCAAGCAGGAAGTTTGATGGCTAAAACCAAAAACACTTACAGTTGCTCAAATAGCCTTGTGAGGTCCAGCTGGTACAAAAATACTTTAGTATCTGTTTTAGTAAGTAATGTCTCAGTGGATAAACAAATAGCAGATTACATTTGAGTTGAAGCTTAATGTTAGGCCAGTTTGAAAGTGTGCTGACACAGGAGCTTTAGCCCATCACCGTGTGCTCGGCCTCACCTCAGTTAAGTTATTGTATTGAATCTCTGAACTGTATTCACAATTTGTTGCATTTTAAAACAGTTTTTAATGAATTTATCTGACACATATATTTATCTGACAGATAATATTCAAGGGTGTGGCTTGCTACCTATTTGCTAATGTTGGCTGACAACTTCAATCTCCAGTCTCTAAATATGCTAACTTATGTCTCCAGAAAGTAACAGTGACATTCAGTTCAATTCAATTCATTTTGATTTAATTCAAGTTTATTCCTTTAGCGCCAAATTACAACAACAGTTGCCTGGAGACACTTTATACTACAAGTTTAAGTGTTAAATTCAATTCTAGCTTTAACAGGGAGCCAGTGAAGAGAATCCAATACAGAGGAAACATGATCTCTCTTTCTCATCCTTGTCATTGCACCCGCTGATAATGTATTACAGTCGTCCAGCTTAGAAGTATTGAATGCATGAACTAGCCTTTACTCATCACTCTGAGACAGCATATTTCTGAGTCAAGTACTATAACCTCAGTTTCTACTTTCTTTTAGTCTGAATGTAGAAAAACAGCAAATTAGTTCATCCATTAGAGTTCATCCAGTCCTTTATCTTTTTAACACATGCCTATGATTTGACTAGTTAATTTGTGCCGTCTGGCTTTATAGATGAATATAGCTGGGTATCATCTGCATAACACTGAAAATATACGCAGTGTAAAAAGTATAATAATAATTATTGCTAACTTGCAGATGTAAACGGGTGGGTTTTAAGTTGGTATTTGAATTGTGTCAAAGAGTCTAGCTGATGATGCTGAAGTGCTAATAGCCCCTGAGATGAGGCGAGTAGAGCTAAAGGCTCTGGCACCCATGGTGTTAAATTTGAATTAAGGAACACTTAGAAGACCAGCTGAAACTGAGCGCAGGGCTGAGGTCTGAAAAATATTGGGGTAACAAGTCACTGTGAGCTTTAAAAGTGAAATTCAAAATCTTATACTGGATCCATTGAGGAATGGGGAAACAATGAAGCTGGATGAGAATAGGGGTAATAGTGTCATTAGACTCGGTGCGAGTGATGACTCTGTAGTATTTGGAGCTGATTAAGGATCAATGGTTCCAGCACAGAAGCCTCTGGAACTGTAACCAACCTTTGAGAAGACATGCACAACCTGAAATCTGCATTCTAGAGTTAAAATATTGTGATCAGCTGTATCGAATGCATGAGTCAAACAAGACAAACACGGAGCTGACTCTTGGGATTCTCACTAGTTCAGTTTCTGTGTTATGATGATCTCTGAATCCTGACTGAAACTCTTCAAACAGGAAATTCCTCTGCAAATCTTTAAAAAAAAAGAATTAAAAAAGAGAAAGGTTAAAAAAATCAGTCTATAATGACCTAAGACAGCTGGATTAAGTCTGGATTTTTTAAACAGTGGTTTAATTACAGCCACCTTGAAAGCCTGTGCTAACAGAGATAAAGAGGTCATGTTTAAAATGGAAGCATTAATTACTGGCAGGACGTCTTTGAAATGTGTCTGTTAGGAATGGAGTCTAACAGACACATTTCATCGTTTGGAGTAACTAATTATTGAAGGTAGTTTAGTGAGCCCCACAGCTCCCTTTTTTCACTTGTCACTTGGTTAGTCATTACATGCAACAGTCCCACAGCATGGGATTGAAAGTTCTAATGTAAAAGATGTGGGGTCAACTGCAAACTGATAAAGACAAGTAAACCTCTGATTAGACAGCTAGTTGATGTTCAAAGGCAAAAGAAGACTAGATTAGACAGAATCCTAAATAGCCATAATAACTAAAGACAGCTGAAGTTGTGAAAATCGCTCTCTACATCTGTAAAACAGGATGACCGTGGCTCAGGGGGTTGGGAAGCGCATCTGTAACCAGAAGGTCGCCAGCTTGATCCCTGGGCTCGCTGTTCTGGTCGTTGTGTCCTTGGGCAAGACACTCTGCCCTACTGGTGTTGGCCAGAGGGGCCGATGGCGCGATATGGCAGCCTCACTTCTGTCAGTCTGCCCCAGGGCAGCTGTGGCTACAACGGTAGCTGCCTCCACCAGTGTGTGAATGTGAGAGTGAATGAATAGTGGTATTGTAAAGCGCTTTGGGTGCCTTGAAAAGCGCTATATAAATCCAATCCATTATTATTAAAATAAGGGCATGTGTGGATCAATTAAAGTGTGCACAAGCACTTATTTTTTCCTTCAAGTATGAGCATATTGGCACCTGCCTGTTACATAATGCAGCAGTTCCTCTTGGTGTGCAGCAGATGGAGACATTCACTAAATTATCATTCACCTCACATCATCTTTGTACACCTTGGGGAGGATTTCTTTGTTATGTCTGGGAGAACGAAAATGGCTGAAATACAGTTGTTTTACACTAGTTTTGGCAGAGGTACCAAGCATCACATTAATATCATGGTTTAAAAAACATCACAGTTTCAAGGTTTTGGATTTAACATTCCTGCACACATCTTTTCATTTAAAAACCCAGTGATGACTTGCATTTGGACACACCCATCTCTGTCTCCCTCTCTCTGCAGAGAGAACCATGTAAAGCACATGTCTCTCCTATGTTATGTTAACTGATGCTGTGGTCCACAGATTATGTAAGGGAGGCACTGTTGGTTAAATACATAATAATCGCTACCATGCTAATGGGATATCCATGTATGTTTTTGATCAAGTAAAACAGAAGTGTTTAATAAATTTGAGATTTATTATCTCTGCTAAAAGTCTCCCCCTGCATTCTCAGACATCCCCCACTCCTCTGATGTGGCTCCCTCACCCAGACTGCTGGTACATAACATGTTGCTAGGGTAACCTAGCCTTGAGAGATGCATGGACCTTATTTGATTTAAATGCAATTATGGAGGTTTTTCCCCTTTTTTTTAGAACACGAGAAAACGTGAAGAATTAATTTGAAAATGCATTTGTTTATGGAGCTGTGCTTGACCCTGTTATTTTCTTTATTATTATTATTTTAACCAAGTCATGAAATGTGGAAGCAATATCTAAAAATAGCTTTGGCTGCAGTGAACTGCCAACTCTGAATTCCATGATTAGCATTCATCTCTCTTAACACATCAGACTGTGCACACTTTTACAAATCATAAATTACTACAGAGTTTGTTTCTAAATCCACAGAACAGAAGAGCAGCACGCAGAAAAGCTCTCTGTTTTCTTACATAATTGAACAGCATGGTAGAGGCGGTTAGCTATTGGTTTTCCTCAAGGAAAATGTCGTGTAATTGCTCTACAGAAATGCATCGTGGTTCCTTTGA